ACATACATACATCTTCCATGCGATGGTTCTGGAATTAGCAAATCGGGCGGGCGGGCGGGGAGAGGAGGAGAGAGACTGTGGATTATTCTTATCACCATCTAACTTAATCACCAAACTATAAGAAACGGACAGATTCGATCAGATTGTGAAACGAGGATGAGGAACGATAGAACAAGGATAACGGCCTATGCGACGGATCTAAGTAATGAAGGAAGAAGCTGCAGATATCAGGTTCTTTCGGGCGCATTGAAGGTAGAATCCTCTAGTTATNAACATAGGGGTGAAGAAAATACACTTTCTTTTATCCAGCAGATGAGTCCTGATTTGATCTTGCTTCTCAGGTAGAATACCGTATCTGAGTATCATTGTTAAACCTCTTGTCAGGTGTGCCTTTCAATTCCAGAAATATTTAGGCAATCACAGAAACTTCAAAAGAGGCGGCTTCATTCGAGAAAACCCTGGTCTCAATAGAATTCACTCACTGGGCTATTGAGGATTCACATCCTTAACCAGGCAACATGACGTTCCTGTTGGAGGGGTCAGAGGACGAACAGTCGAACCGTACCCAAGCGGAACTTTCCACCTAGCTCGCTAACCCACTTTAAACACATTTTTGTTTATCTATAGAGAAATCAGCTGAACAGGGCTTTAACAGACTCCGTTCAATTGATAAGGTATGACCGCGGATGCATCAATCACTTTGAGGAATTCCTAGTAAAAAGTGATTAGTTGGATTCACTTGAGGTTGCAACGGTTTTACTTTAAGTTCAAAATTCATGGTAATTCCTGTTTCTACGGTTGACAGAATGGACTCAGGATTGTGCGTGAAGATGGAGTCTGAAGGATGTTCCGTTCATATCAAAACTGTATTGTTCGAAGGACGACCCCACATCAAATCGGTCCCTAGTTTTGCAAACAGAAAGTTAACGGCGGATTACTCATTGATGTTAGATATTTAAAAATGTCCGACATCGATAGCTGCACGTAACTTGCTGCTAAAACTTCGTAACGTACCTTATTGAATCCAGGCACGAGTCAATAAACCTAATCTTAAGATTGATAGAATCAACTGGTGAGGGAGAGGAGGACTAAAATTAAAAAAACAACGCCCTTCATAAGAGCAGGATAATGTCAACCGGTTTGCATACACAAGAGCTCGATAGAAGGAGTATTTCGCTACCCTGCCCTCTCTTGCGCCATTAGTGGCCTGCACTCCTTACCGATGGGGGTCCCGGGACATTGACGAAAATTTGGAACGGTATTTGATCACGTGCAAATGAATTACCAGTTCTGATATTTTTCCTCAATAACGTTCCAGATTTTAAACATATACTGTTTTATGACACAATTATGACCTCTACATATGGAAAACTTACGGTGCACATTTTGAGCCGGGGTTATCGGCGGAGCCATTGGTGTTCCCACTTCAATGTCTTTCCAATCTGTAAAAAAAACCAAAAAATGTAGATTACTTGCTAAAATATGATCCGAAGAATGAAATTATCAATGCAAACAACCCTGGGGGATCATTTACTACCCGCTCGTCAAAAGTGAAACAAACATTGGACCAGAATTCGTGGACTCTGACATGAACTGAGCCTGCGTTAATGTGGTAATCCTACCTACGGGATAACACCAGCCACGGAGTGACACATTTCAGTTTCTGGACAACTGTGGTGAGTCAACCTTCCTAGATAACACCAGCTAAAAGCCTACGCATTCCTGCTTCTGGACAATGAACTATAGGCCGATCGTGCCGACCAATCTGAAGTCGTGCGGTCCAGACAGAAGCTGTATGACGTTAAGAATACGAGCAGGCCATTAGTGGATATCTAGATAATCGATAAACTTCCTTTATACATGTTATTTAATCCCTTGGATTTCTTTCAATAAACGAAATACTACTCCTGTGGCCTTTTCCTTGCGTCTCAGATACGTGGGATACCAGTATACAAATGCCAAGGCGATTCATTGTTTCTGTTGTGTCCGTCATTCTTGATCCCTGATTCGTAATTCGTGATCAGTGCCTAATTCAACCATTACAGGTAAGCTGGATTGCGTTTCGTGAATTCACAGTACTTTTACATCAGTATATCCCATTATTTGAGGTCACACGCTATTCCACAACCCGGCTGATGATATGCCCAGGTTTCATTTTTCACACTCCTATAAATATGTGTTGCATTAGAAAAATATACGAGTTATTTTTCTCTATAAATTGTGTTTTGCATCCAGATACGGAGAATTATTTCATTGAACTGGACCGTCCAACGGACATTTCACAGTTGGAGAAAATGTGCATTTTGTCCGTTGCACCAACCCAGACCGCCATTACGACCCTGTTGATTGATGACTGAATGTTTCCACCTGCATTGATCAGTCTTCGTATACTATTGGGTATTCGATTGATACATAATCAAACGAATACAAATCGAACATTTCACACACCTTTCGTAAACCCCAAAGCGGAGAAGATTCGGTTCTCCTCACGTATCGGTATTTGACACGGGCAATGAAAGTTTCACGCATGAATATATTGCCGTTCACGTAAATTTGACCAGAATTGTCCGTTACAAACTGTTTGGGTTTCACTGGGTTCTACTTGAATTGGCTTTATAGCACCGGGAAGAGAGCTAATGTGAACGGCTCTCATAACTAATGCAAAAAACATCTAAACAGTATGTATTGCTATAACTGTATTGGTTAACAAGTGTTTCCACTAGGTCCAGTCATCTTTGAGGCAATTCTGATTGTGCGCCATTACTCTGTTCTTGTCCTTGTCATCCGTTTACAGTTGCATGTGAATACACCCTACATTTTTTCTTTTCTTTTAGAATATTGATCTTCTCTTTCGACCCATGGTATTCAACACCTACAAAGCTTCCGCGTTCGACTTTTTATTGGTACCTGGCCTATTGAGTGAACGTGCTGAGCAGGTTGAAACACTTATGATTGAATTGTGCTACATGTAACATGTTCCTCCGGACGATCCTTAAATCAGAAATATCCGTCCCGTTTGATTTGATTGAATAAAATAATTCACAACGTTTACACAGAATGATTATTGGCCATCAATTTCACTTGCTTTCAATAAGGCGCCTATGCACATTCAAAAGGTTTTAACGTTAAACAAAGAATATCAATCACATAGGTGAACATCTACCAAATGCTAGTGATTCAAGTGGAAATTTCTTTTTACTTTTTGAATCATTATCGAAGTCACGTGCGGTTGAGGGAACCACAATTGGGGAAGGGGGTATGAGAATAAAGTACCAGGAAAAGGAGATGTTAGTGTGGAAAGGGTTGCGTAATGAAAACCGATAAACCGTGGACCAATGAATGTCGAAAGTGGTTATATAATGCCTATTAGGAGAACAACCCATCTAGATTGAGTCAGATAAAGCCATGCTGCAATCGTTGATATTTCATTTTCTCCTCATATTTCAATCTTATGGAACTGTTTTAATCGATTTGATTGACCGCTATTCGTTTGTGTAACTTTTGTACATCCGTTTTAATTAAGTTATGGCTTTATATATATATATATATATACCTTTTTCAGCTCAATTCTAGTTGTTTGATCATCAAATCAAGATGTCCTAAACATGTCTAACACACCAATCACGCTCAATTTGTTAGTATCAGTGGAACATGTCCGGATATGATTTTTCAGACAGAGGAGGACAGAGACGTTCGTCTACTGGCAAGATAAACGGCCAGTATGTGTCTTAGAATTTGGGGTTTGTGTGGTCGAGACAGATCGCTCAATTGTCTCCCCCGGTCTCCAAGCTTCAGCAACAGAGTGGGAGATCTGAGCTGCATTATGTTTGTCGAGACATCACTGGGAGGTTATATGAGATTGACGGGACAGATTAAAATAACACCAAAACAGCTTGAAATGATATTTGTACAGTTTGATTTGATAAACGGACCAATTGAACTTCAAAATTTATAGAATAACTGTCCTCTCAATTTATATTCCGAACAATCAATAATAGTTGCAAGTGATCGTGAATGTTCAGTGTTCAATGTTCACCCAGTTGAATGGCTTGGTGATTACTTTTTGCAAATATTTCAGTATGTTAGATTGGGAAGAAGACATTCAACTGTGTCACTCAATAGTTCGAGTATACTTCAAGGTGTTGTCCTATAACCCAATCATTTTGCGACTTTGTGGGGATCCCAGCCTACGAAATGACGTATACTCTGGATCGACACGTTACAGTTTTCGGATGACGTCAACAAAACGCGTGCGAGCCACAGCTTCTGGACTACATACCATAGGTCGATTGTACCAGCCAAACAGAAACCGTGTGGCCCAGACAAGTTGAACAACGGCAGAAAGTCTAGAACGCGATTGGTGAAGGCCCGGATGACCGGATGAGCTTGTTTTGTACGCATTATTTAATTCCCCTTGTTTCTTTCGATACACGAACTACTAATCCTATGGCCTTTTCGTCGCGTCTTGGTTACGTCGGATACCACGTGCAAGTGCCAGTGTGATCCAGTGCTTACGTGACGTCCGTAACTGTGATTCCTACTCCGTGCTTCGTATTACGCGTTCATTGCGTACTAATACTACTATTACTATAATTACTACAGACTTATGTCAATGAATTACCCACTACTTCCGCTGTTTGACATTTTAAGTATGCTGATAATAGAGCCATTCCTATCCTGAAAAATGCCTTGAACCGTTCTATATCTTTCTCCGACAATGTACACATTCAGGGAAAGCTTATGAGCAGGTTCAGTCAAGTGAAGTACCAGATGTCACTGATCTTTACATACCCAAACTGTTGCTCGCAAGCTGAAAGCTCTCTCCTTTCAGATAAAATATTGCACCACTACTGTTCTGATTTGTCGGTGATAGAAATATTTGTTCAACGATTTGTTCTTACCACACCTCTTTACTACTCCCCCGTGATTTTTTCTGGTTTGCTAACGGCAAACTTTAAGCTGCTGAGGCGTCACCTCTCAGTGATCAACCGTGTTTCCCAATTTCCGTCACCTGTTTCGGTTCACAATGTGTGTAATGCTCATATTGATGTGTGCTTGAAGTTTGCTGACAACCTCCTATATGACTGTACCCATCCTTTACACATTAACATGTATGCATGCTAATTCTACCCCTTAACCCGTTCCAAATGCAAACTCATCCCATCTTGGATATCTGCGCACAGAAACTATTTCGTACCCAATATGTGTCCCGGATACTAACCGACAAAAATGTGTTGGTTCTCAACTTTCTAACGCATTTTGTAATTAATTCAGATTTACGCACGTCTCATGTCCCACGTTTTCCTTCCTTCGTGCCACTATTGTGACGGTGGTCTCTTCTTAGATGGAAGCTTGTATTTAACTCGTTAAAGCTTCAAATACAATAAGATAAAATACAAAAATCAAGCATTACTATATATCTCAAATACTTTGACAAGGTCATTGCACAACATGATCCCGATTAGTTTGTCCAAAAATCCACGGTTTCTACTGTTGCCGCAAGTTGCGCATTCTGATGCATTTGACTGTTCTTGGTTGTGCAAACGCCTTTGATAATCCTGATAAGCAAATGTCTTGCTAAGTATGACCTGGGGATTGGAATTTGGAATTTTCTGATCGGCCACGTTTGACGCAGTACTCGAATGAAACTCAAATACTGAAGTAGAACTCTCCTTTTTGAGCACGGATCCTGTTAGAAATCTTTTTATTTTAAACACAGAATCTTTGTACTGCCTGAAATGATATGGCTTGCAAGTATGACGAGGACGTGGTGATTAATAGTCCACTTAATGATCCAGACCGCTTTAGTCTCCTCCAGGATGATCTGAGGCAGCAGCAGCAACAACAACAACAACAACAACAAAAACGACGACGACGGCGACGACTGATTTTGGTTCTCACTGGTCACTTTTGTTTTGCCTCTCACGAAGATTCAGGGGCAGTGGTGGTAAAGTCACTAAATTGTCAACCCGGAGGACGAGTGTTCGAATCCCACCACCACCACCACCACCACC